GATTCCATTTTTTCCTTTAATTCAAATAAGGTATCAATTAACCTTACAAAACATAGAATAAGATAGAGGATGCAAGCATCCTCTTTATATAAATAAATTTATGGGTAAAAATGGTTAAAATAGCACGGGCTAGCCAGTTTTCGGACTGGTCATTTAAAAATAGTGCGCGTTTGCAAAGTCATTGAGAAATAACCATTATTTTGCTGCAATGATCACGCCCAACTATGCCTTATAAAAAGGACAATGCGGTCGTTGCAAATATAATCCGGTTTACAAGTCCGGAGTCGAATCCCACAGAGAACTAAGGCTTGGCTACAACTGTTCACTATCACCAAGAAGACAAGCTTGAACAATTCCTAACTTATAGATATTAAGATTCTTGTGTTTAACTACTTAACTAACAAATTAAAATAGTAAATTAACAACTAAGGATACTGAGGGTTAGAGAAAAGATTAAGGAGGTCTAGAGTTATGATTTCCCCAATTGTCGGAATCCTTCCCGCTATGTCTTCTATAATTTCGCCTAAGTATTCTCTACCGATCATGAGCACTCATATTACCGTAAATCTCTCCCGAGTAATTACGACAATTTACTAGACGCACTCTCCCGAGCTACGCTAGCTGGCTTTTAATACAGCTCACTTCAGATCGCACCCAAGGCTTCGTTATCCCTAATCCCGCCTTTAAACCCTCGGTTATTGATCCCTCATATACTCTGGGAGTGGTGTTGTTCAACAATTACCTAAATATGCACTCTCTCCCGAGTTATGCATACTAAATAGGCACAGCTAATTGAGAGCTCTTCAATCAACCAGAATATAAACGTAGTTGAACAAATAGAGAAAAGCTATGGCTCAATTATATAAAAACATAACAAGAATTTATCCTACAAAAGGTTCTATCAAAACTCTAAATAACAAATTAGCTATTCATAATAGTATGTAAAACTACAATACTAAAAGTCATAACCAACAATGAAAAATAGGAAGAGGAAGGAAAAAACTCGTAGAAGAATTCTCCGCCTTGCTCCCAATGTGTTCTTGCCTCCAAGGGTGTTGTCTGACCCTAAAGTAGTCTCTCCACCTCCTTAGGCCTAATTTGTGTCCAAAATATGTCCCCTCTTGTTCTTGGGCGGCCTCCTTTGTTTAATATAGGGTTTAGGACTTAAAATCCCATGTTTTGCACTTTAGTCCCTGAAATTTTCGCTTCCTGCCGCGGTCGCGGTGGAACCGCGGCCAAAAATGCCCTCTGATTCTTCAGTTGTCCGCGACCATCTTCTACCGCGGTTCTGCCGCGGTCGCGACAAAACCGCGGTTTTTCACCCTGTTCCGTTTGAAATTTGGAAAAACTTAAAACATGAAAGTTGTAGCCCTTTGAGTTAGCTTTCCAACCATACATTGTGGAGCTCAAATGGAGTTCTGAGTAAAAAGTTATGTCTATTTTACTAGACAGTGCGCAATATACCTCCTCAAGTCTTCATTCGTACTTAATTAGCAAATTTGACCCCCGAACACGATCCCGGCTTAATTCCTTGAGCTTTTACTCAGACTTTAAAGCTTCAAATCACTTAAATTCATCCCATAACATCTATATAGCTCGGAATCACACCTACAAGGCATAAAACACACAATTAGTGCAAAACACCAGCGATTAAAGCGCAAACTCAATTAAAGTGCAGTAAATTAGAGTGTAATAAGCGACTAAAATATGCAATTATAGCCTATCATCATGCAACAGGGACTGATCCAGCATAATATACTGGAGATCGGTGCACTGTGTATGAACTTCCAGCATATTATGCTAGAACTCCAACACACGGAAAGTTCCAGCATAATATACTGGAGATTGGAGCACATGTGTATGAATTTCCAGCATATTATACTGGACCGGTATATTATTTTGGAACTCCAGTATATTATGCTGGAGTATTTTCCGGATTTTGAACAGTGTTTTTGTAAAGATTTATCTTTACATGAAAAGTGGCTAAATTTCGATTACTTTTGAAACTGTGGCTATTTTTGAATGACCGCTTGTAAATCTGGCTATTTTTGAATTTCTCCCGTAAAAATGATTTGTGTATAAAGTATAAACTATAAAGAAGAAATTAAAATACCATCTCATATTCTATTCTTCCTTATCTTTCGTTTGCGTCGGGTTATAAAAATTATTGGAACATCTACCAAGGTTGTGAAAGTCCTTGGTAGGGAGCGCTTCCCCCTGAATGGGGCCCTACGCGGCACGAATCCAGATATAGTCAGGCTCCAATGCGGGTACTGGACACCGGGTGAGAAACCAAAAAAAAAAAGTGAAAGTCATTAACTCATTAGTAGCTTCATCGAAATCTCGTCTGCTCTTTAATTCGTGAGTTATTTTAAGCGGTAAAAATTATCTCATGTTAACCACATATTAATTACCATGATAAATTTATTAATTAAAGGTGAAAATATATACTAATAAAAGATTGTACGTGCATACACATGTCATGCATTTATTGTCATTCATTTATTGATTTTGTATAAATGCCAAATGCTTATAAACTTTAATATAGGCGGTTTGAGATTATACAACAAGATTAGTATATATTTTAGTTTAACTCTTGTAACGATGGTGTTCAAATCATCTTACACGCATCTCTACCCTTCACAAAAACTTACATAATATTGTAAGAAACTTTCAAGGTTAACATAATAGTTTTTAAAATTATCAACACATAGTAATTTCAATTTTTAACATTAAGTATAGTGCCAAAAATTATTTCATAAACGTTGAATAGTTCAAATCTATTTTTAGGTAAAAATTAGCTTCGTTCATTTTCTTTTTCTAAATTCTTATCAGGAAAAACTCTCCTTTTTCACCACTAAGTAGAATGTTAATAATTTCATACATTTGAATAATGCAAATATATTTTGAAGTTTAAAAAAAAAAAAAAAAACACGTCGTCCACTTGGAAAACTTCATACTAGGGCTTCCAATACCGACTGCTCTACTTCAGGTAAACAGTCTCTCTCTCTCTCTGTGAATAATAAGCTTAAATCCCAGACTTTTCCTTTTACGGGCATTTTTGGTCTTGATCAAAGGATTTGCTCTAACCATTTAGTTATTACTTATTAGTATATGATTTCCGTAGTACTCCATTAAACATGGTAAGTGAAGTTTGTTACCAAAACTTTAATTTGTTGAATGGCTCCTGTTAAATTCGAAGCTCGATGGCTATGGCGGAAAGTAAAAGAAGAAAACCCTAGAAGGGTTGAGAGAAGAAGATGACTGAAATGAGTCGTTCAAATCTTAATTGACCAAAAACTAATATTATTATTGAAAAGTCTCTATTTATATTTACAAGTGTAAGAGACAAAAATAAAATGTAAAATCTAAAATGAAAATATAAGAAAATGTAAACTATAAAAGGGCCTTCTGCTTTCCCTTAGCTGATTGGGCCTGTGACAGTTGGGCCTGAGCTGTATTTGGGCTACCCCCCCCCCCCCTAAGCTTGAGGGTGAGAAAACACCAAGCTTGCAAAGTAAACCATGATGAACAGGACCATGAAGAGCTTTGGTCATGATGTCTGCTAACTAATTGGAGCTGGAGATAAAATGCAAGGAAATCAAACCAGCCTGCAAGCAAGTTCCCACATAATGACAGTCAATCTCAATGTGTTTTGTGCGCTCGTGAAAAATAGGGTTCTTGGCAATATGGAGAGCTGCCTGTTTGTCACAATAAATGGGAACTGGGCTGGAAATGGACAAACCAAGATCACCTAGAAGTCTGAGCAACCAAGAAATCTCAGCTGAAACCTTGCGAAGTGCCCTGTATTCAGCTTCAGCGGAGGACAAGGAGATAGTGGGCTGCTTCTTGCTTTTCCAAGAAATTGGGCTTCCACCAAGGGTAATATAATAACCAGTGACAGATTTGCGAGAAATGGCACAGGCAGCCCAATCAGAGTCAGAATATGCAGTTAGAGACAAATCAAATGAGCTGGAGAGGAGCACCCCTTGAGCTGGATCATTTAGTAAATATCTGAGAACATGCAAAGCTGCCAACATGTGGGGAACTTGAGGTTTTTGAAGAAATTGGCTCAAATATTGAACGGAGAAAGAAATATCAGGCCTAGTATGTTGCAAGAAGTTGAGCTTTCCAATCAATCTCCTATATAGGCTAGGGTCAGAAACAGGCTCCCCCATGTCTAACACCAGCTTCACAAAAGGATCTAAAGGGGTCATAACAGGAGAGAAGTGTTGACAATTAAACTCAGCTAAGAGGTAGGAAGTGTTAGTGTTGGCTCATCACATAACTTTGAGGAATAAGAGAGATTTCCAATCCCAAAAAATAGTGAACTGAGCCCAGGTCTTTAATTTTGAATTGGGCATCCAAGAAAGACTTCAAAGAGTTCATCTCAACAACATCATTACCAGCTAGCAAGATGTCATCAACATAGACAGCCAAGACAATTAGAGAATCAGAGGAGACCTTAGTGAATAAGGAATAATCATTCATGCTGGAAATGTAGCCTCTGGATTGCAAGGCTTCAGACAGTTTTGAAAACCACTGTCTAGAAGCTTGCCTAAGGCCATAGAGGGACTTCTTGAGTCGGCAAACCAGCAGAGGAGAGGAAGAAGGAGCAGATACATCAGACCAGGTGGAACCTTCATATAAACTTCCTCATGGAGATCCCCATGAAGGAAGGCATTGTTCACATCAAGTTGGAACACAGTCCAGCCCCACTTAGCAGCCAAAGTGGGTAAACATTTGATGGTGGTTAACTTGACAACAGGGGAAAAAGTTTCAGTAAAGTCATTACCCTCCTTTTGGGTGTCACCCCTAATGACTAACCTGGCCTTATATCTCTCAATAGAACCATCAGCCCTTTGTTTGATTTTGTAAACCCACTTGCAAGGAATAGCTTTCTTGTTAGAAGGTAAAGGGACAATATCCCAAGTCTGGTTCGCCTCAAGGGCTTGGAATTCCTTTAGCATGGCCTCTTGCCAAGCAGGATGTGAGGCAGCCTACTGGTAGAACTGGGGCTCATGCATGTGTATGTCAACAGAAGAGACCTTGGAAGAGGGGGGAAGAGGATGAGAGGAAGAGACAGAGGAACAGACATAATCTTTGATATAGGAAGGTTGATGGACTGTTCTGGTTGATTTTCTCAAAGGTGGAGGAGAAGGAATAATAGGAGAAGAATCAGATATATGAGGAGGAGAAGGAGGTGAGGGAACAGGGGAATCTGGAGATGTGGAAACATCAGGAGTAGGAGAAGGTGAAGAGGAGGAGGAGAATCTACAAAGTTTGAAATAGAGGAAGAGGGAAAGACAGAAGGGTGACCAGACTTGTAGGGAAATATATTTTCATGAAAAACCACATCCCTAGAAAAGAAAATGGAATGAGTAATGAGGTTAAGAAGTTTGTAACCCTTTTTACCAAAGGGGTACCCCAAAAATATAGAATGAATAGCTCTAACCTGGAATTTATCTCTGCCGAACTTAGGTGAAGTAGCAAAGCATAAACATCCAAAGGACTTTAAGTGATCATAAAGTGGAGGAAGACCATGGAGTTTTTCATAAGGAGAGACACCATTCAAAACAACATAAGGAAGTCTATTGATGAGTAAGTGGCAGTCAGATCACAGTCACCCCAATATTTGAGGGGAAGGTTAGACTGAAAAAGAAGAGCCCTGGAGATTTCCAATAAGTGTTTGTGTTTCCTTTCAACCACCCCATTTTGTTGAGGGGTGTGAGGAATAGTGGTCTGATGGAGAATGCCTTGGCTTGAGAAGAACTTGGTGGCTTCAGAACTTCCACCAAGTTCAAAAGCATTGTCGGGCTTAAAAGTTTGGACAGATGATTTAAAATGAACTTTAACCATGATAGTAAAAGCTTTAAGGACAGAAAGAGCATTGCTCTTGCAAGAAAGGAGGTGAGTCCATGTGGCTCTAGTGTAATCATCAACCAAAGTTAAAAGATATCTAAAACCATTGTAAGTTCTAGTGTTATATGGACCCCAAATGTCAATGTGTACTAGTTGAAAGGGAGCAGAAGAGTGTATAACACTCTCAGGAAAAGGTAATCTCTGTTGTCTTGCTAGAGGACAAACAGGACACATGAAACTTTGTTTGGAAGACACTTTATCAGATAAGAAAGGAATAGTTTTCCTTCTATGATAAGGCATGTGCCCTAATCATTGATGCCAAAACAAGTCCAATTTATTAAGGCAATGAAATTGATTACAATCAGGAGTACCATTAACATGTGTAACAACATGACTGGACTTATCAGATACAATTGAAACAGAACTAGGTAAACTACTAGAAAAAACATTCAGAGAATCAGATGGAACAGGAAAGAGATCACCATCTGGATGGAGGTAGTATAGCCTGCCTGCAGCTTTACCAATTTCCAGTGGCCTCTTCAGAGAAGGGCCCTGTAAAGAACAAATTGTTTTGGTAAAAAGTGCTGAACAATCTAGCTGACATATAAGCTGATGAACTGATATCAAATTGAAGTGAAAAGATGGCACCAGAAGAACATGAAGTAAAATTATATCATGCCTAAGATACAGAGATCCAGTTGATACAACTTTAGCTTTATATTCATTAGGTAGAGTGACAAGGAAAGGCTTGATTAATGGTTGGACATTAAAAAGAACATGTTTATGTGGAGTCATGTGATTTGTAACCCCTGTATCTAAGATCCAAGGATTGACACCTAATTGAGAGGATGCACACACATGAGAAACCTCAGAATCTACAGCATACTTGCTAAACAAACATGCAAAGTGTGCAAAAGCAGATTGATCCACATTGGAGGCATCAGGTGTGGAAGTGTTTGACATCTGAACTTGTTGGAACAAGGTCAACAGGTGTTGATACTGCTCCTTGGTAAACCCATGGGCTGAAGAATCAGCATGCTGAGAAGTAGTAGTGACAGCAGTGGTGGATGGACTTTCAGTCTGAACACAAGAAGCATATTTCTTACTCTTGGTGAACTTGAAATCAGTAGGGACCCCATGAAGTCTGTAGCACTTGTCTACAGTGTGGCCAGGCTTCTTGCAAGAGACATTTGGAGCAGCTTTCCTGGCCTCAAAATTCACCTTTTGACTGAAAGTCCTATTTGTGGTAGAAGCACTAGGAGACACCAAGAAAGAGGTGGCATCACCAGAGAAGTTAGGAGCAGCAGAGTGAGCTTCTCTTTGACTCTCATCTTGTTGTAGAAGACTATAGGCTTTGCTGATTGGTGGAAGAGGATTCATTAACATGATGGCACTTTTAACGGTTGTGTATGACTCATTTAGACCATTGAGAAACTGAAACAACTGTTGGTCCTATATGAATTTAGGCAATGCACCACATGAACAAGTAGGACCTACATATGAAGAGTTCAGCTCATCCCACAAACTCCTCACCTCATTTTGGTGAAGTAAGAAGCTATATCAGAGGAGCCTTGAGTAGTAGAGCTGATTTCCCTTTGTATTTGAATGTATTTAGACCCGTTTGGCTGACCAAACCTTTCATTTATATCTTTCCAGACTTCCTTAGCAGTTTTAAAACACATTACACTAACAGCTATTTCTCTAGATACTGAGTTATTTAACCAAGCTTTGACCATATCATTGTTCCTTTCCCAATATGGGTAATAAGGAGATTCAGGAGTGGGTTGATTGACTCTGCCATCTAATAGGCTGAGTTTGTTCTTTGCAGAAAGGGAAGTGAGCATACTGTTACGCCATAACACAAACCCACAACCACTGAATGGAGCAGATACCAGTTGACTTCCAGGATTATCCGAGGGATGAATATAGAACGGATGTGAAGGATCCAAGGAAAATGGAACAAAACCGTTGGAAGTTGAAGAAGAGTTAACGTCATCTACTACAGTACCCATTTTCAGCAGTAACTAAGTCTAATACTAAGAAACTACAGTAGCATGTTGAAGTAATCAGAGATAAACTCGAATCAGGTACATGCAATGAACATTAACATCAAAATTAACAAAATCTGTGATTAAGAGTGACAGTGATACCGTCCTTCTTCTGAAAACCCGAAGAAGTGAGGTCTTGTTTAGCCATGAACCCTAGGTAGAGAAATCCAGCAGAAACTACCGGGTAACTTGAAGATTATCAAACGATTCTCGCAATAAAGTCGAAAATATGTGAAGATTGAACGAAACCCCAAAATTTCACAAACGTGTTCTGAAAACCGACGATCTGATACAGTCCTTGACGATTTCAAACAAGGCTACCATCGGAAGAAAGGTTGTGATGAGAGGAATCTATATTCCCGCTCTGATACCATGTTAAATTCGAAGCTCGATGGCTATGGCAGAAAGTAACAGAAGAAAACCCTAGAAGGGTTGAGAGAAGAAGATGACTGAAATGAGTCGGTCAAATCTTAATTGACCAAAAACTAATATTATTATTGAGAAGTCTCTATTTTTATTTACAAGTGTAAGAGACAAAAATAAAATGTAAAATCTGAAATGAAAATATAAGAAAATGTAAACTATAAAAGGGCCTTTTGCTTTCCCTTAGCTATAGGCCTGTGACAGTTGGGCCTGAGCTGTATTTAGGCTAACAGCTCCAAACATATTCGTTGAATTTGGTAATTCGTGTCATTTGATTTCTAATAATATTATGTCTAATATTTCTTCTTTACTTCTCTTTCCGAGCAAAGAACGAGTCTTGCTTTAGAATGAAATATCAATGATGTTTTGGTTTAATTTTCCTCCTTTAATTATTATTTTTTCCCTCCTTTTTGCTTGAGTCTGAAAAATTAATTTTATTATCATGATTACAACTTTGGTTAATGGAATATCATTAAAGAGTAATATCAGAGTTACTAAACCACACAAATCGAAACCGAAGAGTAAAAAGCAAAACCATACTGAATTTATTTCGGTATGATATTGGTATAACATTTTTAAAATAAAAATACTGAACTTAAATCTTTCAAAACCGTACCAAGCCGATGAACATCCCTAGTTAAGTTTTACACCACATTGATTTCTATATGATTTTTCAAAGAATATCTGAAATATCTTCCTTTTCCATGCAAACATTAACTGTCTTTGACTAGATACAATACGAAATATACAATTTACTGTGCCAGTTTTCCCTATAAGATTGAAGTAGATACCAGTTATACGTCGTGTTTTGTGGCGTGGCCAAGTGGTTTGAAGAACAATCTTAGTAAACCCTGCCTCAACCATACATAAAATACATGAGAAACCTGCAAGAGGGAAAAGAAAATGAGGTTAATAACACTTGTACGCTTCATCTCCCTTCCTCCGGTTTCACAGTTTATGTTTTCTGGAAACAGTGAAATGATTCTTTCTTAAGGCATTCCACTGAAGTTCTTAAGATGATATAAACATACCCAGCTAGTACACTAGTTTAATTAGGTTAATAACCAGATTGAGTGCCACTAACTGAGTTAGGACGAAATCGCATACAAAGACGGGCCAGACCATAACACAACTACCACTCCTCAAAAAGAAAGAGAAAAACTACTACTACTACTACTACACCTTAATCCCAAACTAGTTAAGGTCGGCTACATGAATCCTCATCCCTCCATGTAAACTTGTCTCAATATATTCAAATAACTTAGATTCTCTAGCGCTAGAAGTTCTCTACATCTTCTACTGGTATACAAATCTCCTAATTAAAAGACTACGAACAAACCATGAACCCAAAGTAAGCATTCGAGTATGACTAAGTTTTAATATCAACTAATTGGTATCACTTGTATGAATCTTTTCTTCCATTTCGCTTTCACGGAAACATTTTCCATCAAAAGGAGGAAAATGACTTCCTTAATTACCTATAGGCTGAAGTCAATTTCCTTACAATTATCTTAACTTTTAACTTCATATTATTTGCTTCAACTAACATTTAGACCTTATTATTGATCTCTACTACTCAAGAGTTTCATCAAAACACTCTACAATATGTTAATATATGATTAATCTTTAATATACATTTTTTCTGGAAATTACCAACCAAACACCAGAAAAAAATTAAAACATTTTCAATGGAACGTGACTTCGGTAGTACCAAACACACCCTCTATCATACGCTTTCTTCAGATCTTTAAATGCCAAATGCAGATCCTTCTTCCTCTCTTTATAAATTTCATTAATCTTCTTAGCAACAATATAGTTGTGGAGCTTCTAGGCATAAATTCAAACCGGTTTTGACACTATTGTAATATCCTTGAGTCTGTATTCTATCGCTCTTTTCCAAACTTTCATCATATGACTCATAGGTTTAATGCCACGAGTCAACAACTTTAAACATCTGTTTTGTTCTTATACATTGGAATCCAGGTATTCTTTCTCTAGTCGTTTGGCATCTTTCGACTCCTAGGTATAGCATTAAATAGTATCGTAAGCCATACTACTCAAACCTCTCCAAGATACTGCCAACCTCTAAAGGAAACCAAAATAGCTGAAAATGATATGATCAAACAATTTACTTCATATAAAACAAACCATTAATTGGTTTTTACGTCTCATTAAGGGACATCATAACAACATCTTAGGACGGAAAATGGTTATACCCAGTTCTAAACTTCTGATACGTGATTTAAGTAGGTTTCTAGCATAGGCTCGTTGACAGCCATCAATTGCCTCAATCAGATCGTCATATCCAAACCTAGCACCTTAATTTAGTTTTGGTTGTAACCGATAATCTCACTCTCATTAACAATTGGCAACAATAAGTAAGCAATCCAAAGAAGAAAGATAAAAGTGTTGGCAGATATCCAATAAAAACGATGATACATGGATGGCATCATTATAGAGCGACCAATGACATGAATCATTAGGAACAAAGTTATCTTGCAAAGGCGAATGAACATCTGAGATGAGAAGTCGATGTCTATTCACACTTGTCATTTTTCCACACTTCAGTTTATGGTTGTGGTTAGAGATTGCACCAAATTTCATTTAGAAAACTAAGGTGTTTTGCTTTTAGGATTGCTATCTTGATGGAGGCAGAAAGCAAGTTACATGCTTTCTCACTGTAGGGAATATTTATAATGGCAAGTCTTTGCATTTAGTGCCTCGCATCGAAAATGCAAACTGTTAAATACAGGTAGAGATATTTACCTAAATATGTAGTATATTAGGAAAAAGGAAAGCACAAAGTATCCGACAAGTTTGCACGTTTTCCGATTTGATTTCTTCTCGAATACCTAAGAAAGTAAATGGGTTGTTAGAATTGCATTTGATAAAAGGAAATTAACGGGAAAACAACATAATTTATCACATGTGCTTACCATCTTGAATCGATCCATGGTTCCTGACATGATTCCTCTAGATGAATCCATCTCATTCCCCTAGTGGAATTTTAATCCAAGAAAGAAAAGGTTAGCAAGTAATGTACACAAAAGATTCAAAAAACTAGCCCGCTTACCATTCGGTCTAGCATTCGGTTGTGGTTCTCCACCTCCTCATGTATGTCACCTGTCAACTGTCCAAATGCAAATATACTAAGTATCAATGCCTGAAGAATGTCCAAAATACATACCAGACGTGCTGGACCTCCAACACCAATATCATGAGTGCTTAAGAAGATTACACATGATACAACAACAGAAAGAACAACTTTCGTTTACATAGCTGTGAGCATCATGTCCTCTATACTTGTTGCACTTATGCAACTTCAGTAGGCAAAAGTTCTACGGAAGTGCAAACAACGAATTGAGCTTTGCCAGTGAAAGTAGCACCAGAAATATGAGAATGAATTATTAGAAGCCCACAGAGGGCCAAGGACACATTGTTTCTCCAACTTCTTGACTTTCAGAGAACCTCAGCATTTAATCTTGGTCTTCTCATGTTTTTTTAAATAAAATCGGGTGCAGCTTTGGTTAAGACTCATATCACAAAAACAGTACTGCAGAGAATACCTTGACTCAATGCTCAGACCTTCACCCATAACAGTAGCATCAGACCTTGTGGTCCACAAGATGGCAATGAGGCCTAACTTTGCCATGGGCATAAGCGCGAAATTACAGTTTAGTGACAAACTGTTAGTGAAGTTGTAGGCATAAGAATCTAAGTTGCTCGGACACGGGTGCGGGTGTTCGACACGGGTGCGGATCTAGAGGTCAGATCCTTCGAGATGTAAATTTTAAGATTCGGGGATACGGATCCTAGTACGGATACGGGTGCGGTGATCCGGCTGAAAATAATTCAAAACTATAAAAATATATCTAAATTATGAGAAATTTTGTGGAATACTTATGTATAGCTTGTAAAGTGTGGATTTCTTTTTTATTCTCAAGTTGTAGATAAGTAAAGGATTGATTTCCTAGATAAGGTATGCTATTTTCTTCAAATTTACCCTAGTGTTGGTTCTGATTTCGGGAATAAATTGTATCTCGTCTCGAATTTTTCCGTCCGTCGTAGTCAAAGTACCCAAAATTGTTTGACCAGATCCAGTACGAATCCCATACCCATACCCATACTAGTGTCGTGTCGACACGGGTACGGCACCTAAACTGCCATGTCAGAGCAACTTAGATAAGAACATGGCCATCACTTTGCAGTTTTTGATAACCATCTGGGACCATCCTCTTTTGACCTAAGTTGCTCGGACACGGGTACAGGTGCCCGATACGGGTGCGGATCTAAAGATCAGATCCTTCGAGATGTAAATTCTAAAATTCGGGGATACGGATACGGGTGCGGGGATCCAGCTAAAAATAATTCAAAAAAATAAATATATAAAAAATGTTCTAAATTATGAAAATTTTTTTTGTGAAATACTCAAGTATAGCTTGTAAAGTGTGAATTTCTTTTTTATTCTCGAGTTGTAGATAAGTAAAGGATTGATTTCTTAGATAATGTATGTTATTTTCTTCAAATTTACCCTAATTTTG